GGATAAAAAAATCCATGGGTATGGAGGGCCAAGTGTACTGGTTTTTGCCCTGTTGACCAATCTGATGTTGCTCAGCCATAAATATCCCAGTTTTTATTTCTGAAATGCTGGTGGGCATGAGATAGCCCTTCAAGCAGAGAACTATCTCCTGTAAAGTAGACCACCTTAGCCTCTTGTGATGAGCAACTAGTGTTGGGAAATATTCAGTGACAAGCATTGAGAGGCTACAGTTATAGCTGCCAGTAGATACTTTGAGACTACCACTAAAAGAAATATTTCGTGTTTTCTTCAACAGATATTTTTTCCTAGTAAGAAGAAATATAAGGGGAAATGACTGGAAGAGAGGAAAGGGCTACAAATTAAAGATGTTGTTGCCTGGTATTCCTGTGAAATTCAGTGAATGAAGTACAGTAATTGTACAGTACATTACCACATCTGGAAGCCCACCTCTCACAAGTTCCTCCTATAGAGACATATCTGGCTTTGGATTATAATGGGCACACTAGAAACACACCTGCCACAGGCCTGGCCAAGTCACTTTCCATCAGAATATTTCTGATTTCTGAAGAGACCAATTAGGCCATATTGGAATCTGTTACTGAGGTGCTAAGTCACTGTCAGGGGCAGAAAGGTACCCAAGGAAACAGCAAATTGTCTAAGTAGACCTGGCAGGACACGTCTGGTGTGTGTGTGTGTGTGTGTGTGTGTGTGTGTAAGTGGGGTTCTACATGGCTTACCCAGGCCAAGCAAAAGCAGCAATACTTTGAAGGGGGAAAAATAAATGCAATATCCCAGGAGTGTGAAGTCGTAGGCTTTCATGACCAGCATCCATAGTTTTTTGTGGGTTTTTTGGGGCTGTGTGGCCATGTTCTAGAAGAGTTTCTTTCTGACGTTACGCCAGCATCTGTGGCTGGCATTCTCTGAAGATGCCAGCCACAGATGCTGGCGTAATGTCAGAAAGAAACTCTCTAGATAGAACATGGCCACACAGCCCGAAAAACCCACAAAAATCCCAGGAGTGTGTTAGAGAGTTCCTCTTCTGGGTTACTTTGCTCCATCAACACCAAAGCTGATGAGTCCAGTGTATATTCTGACCATTGTTTTTCAATTCAAAATTTAAATAGTGCTTAAAAGTGGTGCTTGACCTCAGTGCTGCATTCCTGTTCTTGGCACCTCATGCAATCTCTCTCCCATCTACCTCCCTGCCATCCTGCCTGAGCACCATAACAAAATGACTACTTGGTTGAAGCAAGACATGATAAACCTCACCTGGGAAACACCCCTATTATTCTCAGCCTCCTGCTCTTTCCAATCTTTCATTGAGCGTTTAGCCAGAATTTTGCATTTTGCTTCACTAGCCAATATGGTTGTAAGAGTTAAGTGTGTCAAGAATGGGGAGACATGTTCAAATGGCTACTTAATTTTACATTGCTGATTATTATATCCCACCTTTTCCTTACATATATCCCATCTTTTATATCCCATTTCTTATATTCCACCTGTCCCCCAAAGAGAAGTTTACATGGGTTGCCTCTTCTCACATTATCTGTACAACAATTCTGTGAGGTAGCTAAGACAGAAGAATTTTTGTGAAGAGGCACTCACTTCATCAAAGAACAAGAAACCATAGGTTTCTTAAGAACTAAACAAGGGACAAGCAATAGATAGATCAATACCAAATTAACTGTAATAGATTAGCCTAAGCTTTCTGTCTCCAAGCAGATTAAAGAAATAGTTTTAAAGAAATAGAGCACCTCTTTCTCATGGCTAGGAATACAGTAAGCCAGAACTTTAGTCCTCCTTGATCATGGCTGTCCAACTAGCTGTTTTTAGCCTAGGACTTTCCAGATATTTGGACTACAATTCCTACCACCCTCATCCAGCATGACCAATGACTGAGGTATAGAGGTTGTTGTTGTTACCTGTCATGCCCTGCCTGGAGGACTCAGAGGATGAGCCAGAACCTCCTCTGGGACCTGAGCCTGCAGCTGTGGAACCTCAGCCCGGCCCTAGTTCTGCTGTGCCCGCTCCAGCAGAGCCTGTGGCCTCTCAGGAGGCTCAGCAGCCAAGTCTCCTGATGGCAGAGTCTCTGGACATGGAAGAGGATCAAGGGACTGTGCCTACCTTCAGTCAGTGTTGAGCCAAAAGGGCTTGCCTCCGAAGGTTGCTGACATTTTATCAGAAACGTGCTGGTAATGAGAAGCACCTGAGTGCAGTGTGCTCATTTAAGGAGTTGTCGAATGACTGCTTCGGTGTCAGTGAATATCTGGCTTTCATGAGGAAAAGACTCTGGCTCCCGTTGCTCCTTGGACTGAAATCTTGCTTTTTGGACTGCTGACCCATCTTGATTTTCTGGAACCCTTGACCTTTGGACTACCTGATTGACCTTCTTATCTGATACCCTGGACCTTGACCTGCTTGACAACTCTTCTGGTAAAAACCTTTGTGTTTGGAACTCTGCACTTTGAAGCAGAGACTTTGGCTGCTGCTTCACACTACCTCTACAAGCCATTTGTTTGGTTGGTCTTATCAGCCATTTGGCTGCTTCCTGGACATTACTCTTAATTTATTTCTATGGATATGGAGGTCTGACTGTATATAAATATACGTACAAGACATTTCACTGCCTGAACCAAACAAATATGAGATACTTATACTCTCAAGTGAAACCACAGTACCCAAGGCTAGCCAAGTTTTATTTTTCTTGAGGCAGAAAATTCCACAAGTATCTCTCCCTCAGGATAAAAATCCAAAAATAAAAATCTAAGCAACCATTTGCTTAGCCTTTTGATGAAGCCCCAGATCAGCCTGCCTCACTCCCTAATGAGAAGGCTGGCCCTGGCATGTGCACAAACACTATCTGACATGATGTGCAGACACTATGATCTCAGACAATACACATAGTATATTTTACTTGACTGATTTTTACATCAACAAAGAACAGGGCTGTTGCAAAGGCAAGGAACACAGCAGGCAAAGCAAAGATCTCAACAAAAGTTGAGAATAGCAAGGGTGGGTCTCAGGCAGTGAAAACAGAAGCGATGCAATCATGAGCTTTTTTTCTTTTAGCCGTAAAATGTGTGGGGTATGATTACATCCTTCCCTTGTGTCCAACATCTTAGCATTCATTCATGCAAAGGTCAGAAGATGGTGTATGAATGCACAACTTATATGCCTGACCACAGAGGCACCTTGTCTAGGAACCCTACATTTTGACTGTGCATAAAGAGGCAACTTGCCCTATTTTCAGATCCACAAGAACATGCGAAGGTTGAAGGAAGAAAAGCAGGCAAAATTTCATTTCCTCTCCTTCTGCCATGTCTTCATCAGGGCTGATGAGAGGTGATTTGGGCCATGGTAAATATTTTTGTTCAGGCCCAAACAGTCTCTTGATTATCTGTGAAGAAAATTCCACAAGTATGGAATTTGGGACACCATGACCAAGCTCTTACCTTGCACAGTGTAGCACAAGAATCTTGTTTAGCATAAAAGCTCTGCTACAACTCCTGGAATACAACACTTTTACTGTAATAGCCACTCTAAACAGCCATTCCATGGCTGGTTTAGAGCATGTATGTGTGGGGTGGGTGGATGGGTAACTGGAAAAGAATCTGGCTATGCCCCATAGCCAGACGCAAAGTGACGACATCTTCCACCAAGATCTGCCAGGGGCTTCTGAAGGTCCTGACAGATGATGCTGCTGCTCTGCATTGACTGTGTCATTGCCTGACACTTCTTCAATCCCTTGTGCTGTCCATCAGCCACAGAACTGCCATTCAGGAAAGCTATTTCAGAAAACGAATCTCCACAATGACTTTAAAAGGACATATGCAGGCGTAAGATGGACTTAAACTTGCATATGTCCCAAAAGGATGCTAACCAATATTTTTGCGACTCACAACCAGCATCCCCCACAGCCACTAGCCCAACTATACTTTTTGACTTGCACCCATGTGCCCTTCAGTGGCCAGTCCAGGTCAGTCACAAGATGTTCAGGAGCTATGCCAGAAGCAGAGGAGTTGGCAAGAACTGGGAAAACTACTTGCCCAGTCTGTGGAAGTAGTGATGATGATGGCACTACTGCCATTTCTCCTTGTCTGTTAGACAGCTGAGGCCACAGTGCTCTGACTGCTCAGATCTCTGTTTTCAGCTGCCATCATTATTGTCAAAAATTGTAACTTCTTCTAACACTACCTGCCCAGCCATCTCATTCCCTTCTTCTCACTTTCTGGCACTACTTTGCTCACTCACAGCTTGCCCACTTGGGCTTCAGTTTCTCTTGCAGCAAGGGTGCACCAGCAAAAAATCTTTTAGCATGTTGCAAGAGTTTTGTGTATCGTAATTATTTTTTCTTTTTCTATTGTCTTTTAAATTCACCCATTATACAACGGAAGTCAAAGACAACCAACAAATAAATTACCAAGAAAGAAAAAAACATGTGCACCATATTTGGGTCCTTTCATATGTACTACTGGGCTACATTAATTTGTACCAGCTTATTGGCCCCTCAGCAATCCTGGTCTTCATAACTATGCATATATTGAGAGACTAGAGCTTCAAGACATGACTTGATTTATCAAACAATAAACTACCATATACTGGGGAACTCCCACTTCTCATGTTTTGGTCTAGCCCAGGGGTAGGCGACCTTTCCACTTTAAGGGCCAAGGGATTTCAGCTCCCAGAAGCCTCAGCCATGTTGGCCAATAGTCCCATATTGGCCAATAGCTCCTGGGATTCTGGGAGCTGAAGTCCCTTGGCCCTTAAAGGGTAAAGGTTGCCTACCCCTGGTCTAGCCAGTGTGGGCATCAGCCAGTGTGCTCAGTGGTAAGGGAATGCAGGGGTATGTTGTGTGCCTTGAAGTTGTTTCTAACTGACAGTGACCCTGGTAAACCTAGCACAGGCTTTTCTTGGCAAGATATGTTCACAAGAGGATAGCTTTTGCCTTTCTTTGAGGCTGAGAGAGTGTGATCTACCCAAGGCCACCCACTGGGTTTCCATGGCTGACCAGGGATTTCAACCCTGGTCTTCAGAGTTGTAGTCCAATGCTCAAACCACTACATCATGCTGGCTCTCTAATGGAGTGTGGGAGTTGTAGTCAAAACAGCTGAAGAGCTAAAGGTTTCCTGATTCTGGTATATAGCCCTGCCCTTGCCTTTCTAGATATAGTCAGTAGAGCTTGTTTTTTCTAAGTTATGGAATAAAGGCATTGTACATATGCTCAGAAGCATCTTGTCCGTGAACACAACAGTCTATGTTCCACATGAAAAACAGCTGAATGGCTACTCTGCTGCAGCGCTAAAGGAGGCTGGAAGAAATTTTTCCCTTGTATTCAACAGAAAGGTACCATCTCCTGAGCAGCTTTGGCCATCAACCATTTCTCAGCCGTCAATGTGGAAAGGAAAACCAGCAGTTTGTTAACACCTGCGCAGGGGGTCACAGAGACCCATTAAAATACAGGAAGGAGGACAGCCTGCAGGGGGAAACTAGGAAGACCCCTAATTGTATCATTATGCATAGGCACAGATATGCCACTTTAGCAGAGCCCCCCTACCCACCCTCACGAGGTGGTTATTCAGATGGAGTCTGCAGGGCAGGGGTAGAATTGCAAGCAGGGCATGGGAGAAACAGGCAGATGATGCACACAACGGGTGTGAAGTGACAACGCCGGTGCATTGTTAGGAGACTTAAATCTCTCTCAAAAGCAAGAAAGGACTTCTGTTCTGGGAATGGCTGTGTCTTGCACTAGTTTTTGAATCCTTCAGAGGGAGAGGAGACAAGTTAGAAAGTAAAATTATATTACAATCAACGACCAGCTGAGCAACAATGGGAGGAGAGCAGCAGGGAACAGGCTGTGGGTCCTCTTTCCCTCTCTATGGGGCAAAGAATAGAACAGGAATCAAAGTGCAAATTCCCCTGAGGAAGAAGCAAGCAGCTCTTGGCTGGTTGACCCTCATGTTGGATCCTTCAGTTGGAAGGCTGGCAAGGCGTTTGGAGAGCACTAATTAAACCTCATGCGCTCTCAGGAGGGCAGCTACTCTGAACTCCATTTTGCAGGATGGAGAAAAACAAAGCACAGAGCTATGGGAGGTGGGCTCTTGCTACCAGCAGGCTTAAGAGCTCCCAAGCTCCCACCTCCTGCCCATTTACCCTCTCAGCATCCCACTCTCTGCTTCCCACACAGAAAAATTAACATGTTTTAAAGCGCTTGGCTGAATTTTTGAAAAAGCCAGCTAGCAATATTAGCACCAGGAGTACCTTCCGGGGGAGGGCATTCCCCCATTACTGGGGTAACACTATCAGAGTGTGCCAAAGTTCCTTTTTTGAATTACAGTTCACCAAACCTCTCAGCCAATATGCTGTTGTGTGTGCCTCCAAGTCATTTTTCACTTATGGCGACCCTAAGGCGAAGTAATCATAGGGTTTTCTTGTCAAGTTTCTTTAGAGGGTTGCCATTGCCATCCTCTGAGACTGAGAGAGTGTGACTTGCCCAAGGTCATCCAGTGGGTTTCTATGGCCGAGTGGGCATTCAAACCCTGTTCTCCAGAGTCATAGTCCAACACTAAAATCACTACACCACGTTGGCTCTCATCACCTAACAAAAGCACAGTTATTACGTATATTCTGCTTGTTTCTTTTTAACAAATCTTACCTCTGATGGAGGTGGTATTCTGAGAAGAGCATCAGCGACCGACCTTAGTGTGAGGACAGGCTAAGAGGGGTTGAGGAATCACTCCTTCAGGTACCTGGGTCCAACCCATGTCAACCTGCCCCACCTCCCAAATCATTCTATATGCTGTACATCCCTGAACAAGTATATCTTCGCTAATGAAGTTGATGTGTTCCTGGACATAATTTCTTTTACAGAAGATCTGGTACCACAGACAGAATAGGGGTAGCTTCCTTCTTACACCACAAAAGGGAAGAGCAGGTAAACCTTTCAGCAAACCTTTAATACAAAACAAACATTATGCACATTTGAAATAAATAAAAAACAGTTCAGGTAAGCCTTGCATAGCCTAAAAAACAAAACAATTTAAAAAAAATAAATCTTCTATATGCCACTTGAACACTTCTTCCCAAATGCATCTCTGGATTATTATTTTTCTTTCAATTATCCCCTTTTTCTTATGTTTTCCATTTCAGTGGCAAAACTTACAGATCTACATTTTTCAATACGCCGGGGTAACTAGTAAAGCAGGTTAATCTGCTTTCCCCTTTTTCTGTTTTACAATTCACACATACTCAGTGATTCCAGAGGCAGCTGTTTATCTTGTCTGTTGTAGGTAAGCACACACAGCTTTATTGCATTGTTCACTCCAGACACCCTGCTGTAACCCAACACTGAAAGTCTGTCACTCTCCAGCCCTTCTTCGCCATCTTTCCAATGTCTATGCTGCAAAAACAACAATAGGAAAAAACCTTCCAGCCTGAGAGAGGACTACAAAAATGTGGGGAGGTGGGAGGTGGACTGGACTACCATAAAAATACTTTGTAAAAAGAAGTTTCTTTGTCAGAGGCTTTATAAAGGGAGTGGGAAATTTCCTTGGCCTTGCCAGTGTTGATGTTGATAATTGTACTTAAGAAATGAAAGAGAAATTTGACAGGCAGCTCCTATAATCCTTAAACACCTACCAGCCAGCCAGCCAGCCGGCTGGAGGACTCTGAAGAAGCCTTTCTTTACACCGGGGCAAAGCCAGCTGAGCCAGGCAGCAGGGAGTGGGGCATGGCCTTAAAAGTCACTCCACCACCTGCACCCCAGGAACACTTACTAGCCAGCCAGCCGGAGGACACCGGAGGACTCAGAAGAAGCCTTCTTTCCCCCATTACACTGGGGGCAAAGGCAGCGAGGCTGGGACACCATCACCCTGGAAGTAGCAAAGGCAGCAGCGGCCAGCAGCAGGACAGGAGCTGGAGGGCTCGGGCAGAGGCCCAAACTCACCACCACTACCTCCATCACCCCAGAAAGAAGCTGAAGCAGCGGTAGCAGGAGTTGGGAGAATTGGGGCGGAGGAATATAGGCCCGCCCAATTATTAGAGTTTGTCCACTGGTGGAATTTTCTTTTTTAAGATGATCAGATTGTGCACTCTAGGGCTTATAAAACAACCAGTTAGATGGAGGGTGGCGGGGGATAGCTGACCGAGGTAACTGTGGGAGTGGCAATTGAGGTGGTGTGGGGTAGAGGAAGATATGATGATTACAGAGTGGATCCTTGTTACAAAAGAAGGAGGGTTCGATGCTTAAAAGTGATCCCACTTTCAATTCACTCTGTTGCCCAAAGTAAATTGGGGAGCTTACCAACCTTGCCACAGAATCTTACCTTGCTCCTCTATAATGCCAGGTCAGTGAAAAATAAAACTCACATTATCCATGATCTTCTTATGGATGAAGAAACTGACCTGGCTTGTTTTACAGAAACCTGGCTGGGGGAGGATAGTGCCATCACCTAGAACCAGGCTCTCCCAGCTGGGTATTCTGTTTATGAGCAGGTAAGGGAAAGTGGGCGGGGGGGAGTGGCTCTGGTCCTTAAAGACAACCTCTCCTTGACTAGGATACCTATCCAGAAAACAGACTACTTCGAGAGTATGTACTTGAGCCTGAAAACCAGGGATAGTATAGGGATTCTGTTGGTATACCGTCCCCCCTGTTGCCTAATAGACTCCCTATCCGAGCTGGTGCAGCTGGTCTCGGAGTTGCTGCTGGAGTCGCCCAGACTTTTAGTTCTGGGCGACTTCAACATCCCACTCAAGACCAGTTTAACAGGTGCGGCTCGGCATTTCATGGATTCCATGACTGACATGGGCCTATCCCGATTGGTTTCTGGGCCTACGCTTTTGGCAGGCCAAAGTCTCGATGCAGTCCTTAGTACAGAACAGGCATATCTGTGGGCAGAGGTAATAAATATCTCCGCACTGTCATGGACAGATCATTTCCTGGTCAAGGTTGGACTAAGAGCCACTGACCATCCCACAGGGGGTGGAGGACCTATTAGAATGGTCCACCCTCAAAGGTTGATGGAGCCAATTGGATTCCAGAAAGCCTTGAAGGGTTTCTTGGTTGGTAAAGCCAGCAACCCTGTCGAAGCCCTGGTTAATACTTGGAACACCGATCTTACCAGAGCTATCGACACGATTGCTCCCAAGCGTCCTTTCTATCCCGCTCCAAATCGCCATCCCTGGTTCACAGAAGAACTTAGGAAAATGGATTGGACAACGACTAGAGTGCACCTGGCGGAAGACTTGACTCTTATCTGACAAGACTCGTCATAGGAACTTACTTCGTTCCTATTGAGAGGCAATACGTGCAGCAAAGAAATCCTTCTCCTCTGCACGTATTGTGTCTACGGAATCCCATCCAGCAGAACTGTTTAGGGTGGTAGGGGAGCTGACACAGACTCCACCTGTGCAGAACCCTTTACTCAACCTGACAACAGCCTGCTGTGACTATTTCAAAGATAAAATCTCTCAGATAAGAGCCGACTTAGACTCCAGGATTATAACAGAAGTGACTGATGAGGTGTTCAGCAAACCCATTTGTGAGATTAGACTGGATTGGTTCGAGTCGGTGAGTACCGATGACGTGGACAAGATCCTTGGAAAAGTGAGGAAGGCCACATGCTCCCTTGATCCCTGCCCATCTTGGCTGGTCGTCCAGGGGGGTGATGCCTTGATGGCCTTTCTTAAGAGGGTCATCAATGCATCCCTTAGGGAAGGAACTGTTCCAACAATTTTAATGGAGGTGGTCATTAGACCACTCCTGAAGAAACCTTCCTTGGACCCCCTGGATTTGAAAAATTATAGACCAGTCTCACATTTACCATTCTTGAGCAAGGTGATCGAGTGAGCCGTGGCCTTTCAACTCCAAGCAATCTTGGATGAAACCGATTTTCTAGATCCATTTCAAACCGGCTTCAGATCTGGATATGGGGTGGAGACGGCCATAGTCGCTCTGGTAGATGACCTGTGCCTTAGCACCAACAGGAGAAGTGTGACCCAGTTGGTGCTTTTGGACCTCTCAGCGACTTTTGATACGATAGATCAGGGGTAGGCAACTTTTCCCCTTTAAGGGCCA